TACATGGTCCCTCCCAGTGATCTCCTCTTAAGACTGTGAGGACTCTCCCCTTCTGCTATTCTCTCCAACACCCAAGAGATAGCCTCGGAAGTTTTGAGTTTCTCCCAAATAAACACTTCTTCCCATCCAAAGGTTTCACTGTGTCCTTACTTACATGGCCAAGCCTGGTGACCTCATTCAAGCCTTAGAACCCATACAATGGCAGAACTAAATGAAATGTCCTTTGACCTCTATGCACATTCACACTCAAATAAATAAATAAATAAATGTAAATGACTTTTTAAATGTAAAAAGCAAAGCAGGTAAGCAATCAGCAAAATAGAATCTGTTAGTCTACATCTCAGTAAATCAAGATGAAGGGCTTGACTGACTCACAGTACATGCACCCTGGACAGTGCAAATGCTGCTACTTAGACATCATTCATTATATCTTGGGCTTTTCTTAGCACACAAACATTTTTGATGTAATGCTAAATGGTGTTAATAACAGTTTATTACTAGACAAAGTCCACTTAGGTCTATATAATTTCTAATACAAACAACCATCCTAGGCACACATCAGCCACAGCACACATCAGCCACAGCACACATCAGCTACAGCACACATCAGTGTTTTCTAGGAGGCTTATGAACTGGCCTGTGGCCTAGGTTGGGTAGGGGCAGCCTGGGTTTAAATGTAGCTTTCTTAGACTCTAAGGCCTACTTCTTCTACTCTCATTTGCTGACTCATTCCTCTAAGCACCAGCCTAGCAAGGTCTGGAGTCCATATTCTGTGGAGCAGGAGACTTGTGCTTGGGCCCTTGTGGGCCTGTGTGAGCCCTGGGCCCTGAGAACAAGAGCTTCCTCACAGTGGTCAACTGGCCAAGTGGTTCTCTCAGATTTGATGGCAATGCTGTCTGCTGAAGAGGCAGGAACCTGTGCTGCACTAGGCCTGTGGGGCTAGTGCCAGCTCCTTCCCAACTGGGGCATGCTCAGAAGGACCAACAGCCAGGAACTACAGTCCTGAGGCAAGTCTCATGCCTCACAGACCCTTGCACCATCCTCTGAGAAAACCACCATTCCTGCCCACAAGCCCTATGATCATGGAGCATGTTCACATACAAGGGTCCCCCTACACCATCCCTGACACTTAGAGATCTGTAGGTACTGATAGCCACAGGAAATAACCATAATATGCTGTGGGAAAGCATAACACAAAGCCCGTGTTTAATGAACCATGACCATTGCTGTCACAAATGTAACTTGTAATACTAACATCTCTTATCCAGTCCCCACCAAAATGAATGAGGTGGCTAGAATTCTCCATGGTGGGCTACCCTGTGAGCTGTTTGCTATTTCCTGGCTGGCCAGAGTAAACCAACGTGTTGGTTGACTGAGGAAGACACCAGAGAAGGGGAGAGAATTCTTACCGCTGGTGCCAAGACTCTGGAAAGAGAGGAATGCATCACTGCTGAGAAGGATGCCCTGGTGCTTAGAAAGCTGAGGAGATGAACACATTCCAGCATCCAGAGGAATAGAAGGAGTCCGCGGAGCCATCGTGCCCTCTAAGAGAAGAACACAGCAGGTTAGTGTGTCCTGCCAGTGATCAGAAGGAGGTGTCGACACAGGCACACACCTGTGAGCTATGCTGAAATGCAGGTTCATTAAGACCACAGGTCTCCTGGGGACACCAAGTGTCAGTGTCTACAGAGGAGAACAAGCCAGAAGTAGGCTTCAGGACACATTATAAGACATCTTCAAAATGGCCAGGCTAGAAACAGATGGAGCAGGTCTTGCTGCTTCCCCTCTGAGGCCCAGACCACTGTGCTATAACGAAATGGTCCTGGCAGTAGTGTTAGGGTGTGCCTCCCTCTTCCTGTCACATCTTGAAGATATTAAAAATTCAATCACATGATGACTATAAAGGTTGCGACATTATAGCTGTGGAGTCTGTGGCTCAAATAAACACAATGATGGGACAAAAGATGCACAGCAGGGTGACCCAGAGGCACGGTCAGGGTACACATCCAACACAGGAACTCACACCCTCTGGGTCACTCAAAAGCTGTGTACCTGCCTAAGGCTTGCTAGGGAAACGCTTTCAGTACATGGCCTGATCTACTCTCCCCAACAGGAAGAAAAAGAAGAAGGAGGAGAAGGAGGAGGAAGAAGAGGAGGAGGAGGAGGACGAGGAGGATGAGGAGAAGGACGAGGAGGAGAAGTTTAGTGCTAGAACTCCATGTGAGCAAAGGATCAAGGTTTCAGTTTGTTTGGGAAAAGATCAACAACCACCTCTGATCCCTGAGGCCAAGGAAAGTTGTGAGAGGCAGGCACATCTATGGTCCCTTGGAATCCATAAAAGACCCAGTTGAACTTGGGGAAAAAAAAACACAGGGAGAGGAAAGAGATCATGATCGACGTGGACGGAACTTCATGTTTTCTGTTAGCTGCAACTTAACAGGTGAAATTAAGCAAGGAGACTTATTTTGCATTTTATTCAGACCAACATATGTAAAATAATATGTGTATTCAGCACAGGTGGAGATGTTTGCATATTCAATTTATGAAATTCAGTAAGGGTCTTATATTTGTAACAAATCTCAATTTGAGCTGACCATACTTCTTTCTCTATACTCACAGGAGTTTAGTGGCCATGACACCAGAGAGTACAGCTTTGGATTCCTTTCTTGTCTAGATCTGATTGGCAGGGTACCAGAAAGCCTTCTTAATTGTTTTCATTATCATATTTATTTATGATGATGTGCCAAGGGGGAATTCATGTATATTCTTCCTCTCTCTCTCATCCTAGAAAACCCCTTGAGTTTTGATACATGTATTTAAAACTTAAGGAAGCGTGGTCCGCTTGGGGGTTAAAGAAGAGCTGAGGGCTGAGGCCATAGGCTGCAGCTATAGGCACATCTGGATTCAGGATATTCTGAAGGCCTCCCATACATCACAGCTCATTTCTCAGGTGTGTGGCTACATTTCCAGTGCTGCTTCTAAGTAGACTGTGTTACTCACCCTCTTGGAGCATGGGGGTGGTCATTCGTGGTATAGGTCAACAGCATCACCTGTCTCACTAGATAGTATGTCACTTGATGGTTATATGAAGTGTGCTTGGCGCACCTGTGGTCCCTACAGGACAGTGAGACACAGCTGTGCTTGGGAAAATTGAAGATAACTGACATTGTAGCCAGCACTGGCCAGGTGAGATACAATGTGAGCTCTGGGCAGAACTGGAAATTTCCTTATAGCTTCAATTTAACAGGGGAAAATAACCATGGAAATTTACTTGTGTTTTATTTAGACCAACATATGTAAAACAAATATGTATGTTCAGGATAAAATGGAAATCTGCATATAACCAAGCTTATAAACTCCTTTACAGTTTGTAAAGCTCAGCTCCATAGAGAGTGAGAGGTGCCCAGCTTTGACAGCTGGTCAAGCTCAAGCTTGAGCTGTACCCCAAACACTGGGTGGTGAAAATGAATCCTTTTCTAGCGATGGGACAAATGATGCAGAGCCAGAGAGCCGATGTGAGGGTGGGGCAGGATGAAGCTTTATCAGGTCAGGTTTTACTTAAGAGCTAAGTGAAGGAACAGAAATTGGCACCAGGCTGTAATAGAATCCCCAGGAAGAGTCAGTCATTCCAAGCAAGTTTTGGTAGCAGCAAACATGATCAGAAAGATAGCACTGTGAGGGAAGAAGGCTGTGAAAGGTGAACTCATTTCAGAGGACCAATGCTTACTTACAGTGTTCGGAAAGATTCCTGTTTCTCTTCACTGCACTCCTAGAAGAGCTGCTCTGCCCACTCCAGTGAGAGGAGCATCCTACAAAGCATTTCAGGAAAGCCAGCAACAGTGGGCTTCCAATACAAGCAAGGAAACTCTAGGCTATGAGGCATTAGAACCCAGGCTGATGCATAGCTGTGGTTGCAGGGTAAGGGAGCAGATTGTAACTGCGAGCTGAGACCTCAGCAGAAAAAAAAATGCAGACAAATATAGATACACAGAAAAGGTAGATCAAAAAAGCCTACCAGTAGTGAGACAGTGAGGTCAACACAGTGGGATAGGGTGTCATCATCTGACCCCATGTGGGTGCTGGAAAATAGTATTTTAAAAGCTAGATAACTTTCTGGCCACTGCCTGTATGACAGACAACCAAGTAATATTGTACCACACACATCTTAGTAGATGCAAAGTGCTTGCAAGAAGGTCCTAGGGTGGCTGTGGCTGAGTGTATTTTAACTGCATATTTCTCAGAATAACTGGAGGTGAGAAAACATCCCAAGAAGGCATTTGGAACAGCCTGAGCTCTGTCCTAAAACAGAGAGTCTTAACCTTAGCCTAATACCTCATGTATTCCCCAGCCTGTGAACCCCAGGAGGCTGCTCTCCAGGTCCCCCCAGCTGTGAGTAAGGAAGAGATTCCAGATGCTTGTGGCAGCTTTGCAGAGCCTGAGGAGATGGGCTCACTCTGACTTCTAGCCTTCCATTGCCCTGGCTTCCTGCCTGTGTAGGTGAAAAAAGGATAATTTCCCTGACTTTTGTGACTGGTACGCTAGATTCCTACAAGTAGCGAAATTACAATCCAAGATGCAGAAGCGTCTGGAATCCTCCTGATCCTGGTGATTAACACGGGGATGGCCTGTACAGCGAGTCCCTGCTAGCACCAGCAATGTGCACAATGCATGTGTTTCACAGTACGATGGAGGTGGTGAGCAGGAAGGGGAGGTGCCTGGCTCAGTAAGGGAGTGCCAGCTGCTCATGATGAGAAGATGGTGGGCACCCGGTTTGTGCCCAGCCTCAGGACTCAGGCATGGAGCTCAACACTAATGAATAGGAAGTATAGCTTCAGGGCTTCCCTCATGCAAGGGGCTTCTTCCTAGGCTAGCAAGGCCCAGACTGACTCATAAAGTCACACTTCTAGGACAACTGCAAAAGGAAGACTATTTGTATTCTTGTCCTCCAGGAAGAAACCCGGATTGTCCTTTGCTTGGCAGCCTCAAAGTACCTCCCTTTCTCAAGGCTCTGGTGCTTCTACAGCTGGGCCAAACTGGTTGCAGAAAGGTCCTTCCATTTGCTCGGCCTCAATTTCCCCAGCTGTAGCAGATGTCTCTGGAACATTCTGTGTTTCTGATCTAAGGTTTACCCAGAGTACAGATTGGGAGAAGGTGGAGGAGAAGGGGGGTGGAAGCTGATAGAATCTCTGAGGAGATAGCAAAAACAGTGGTACCGCTTACCCAGGAAAGGAAGGCTGGAGCGTTGGTGGAGGAGGACCACCAGCCTTTTGCCCTCTAAGGCTCGCCACACAGCACAAAGGAGAGCTGGTCCCAGGGTGCATCACAAGAAGAGACATAAAGAAGTTAAAAGAAATGAGGTGGAGCTGGGAGCACTGTGGTTAGAGGGGAACTAGTTCTCCTTTTTTCAGGTTGTTTGGGGGGCATCTTGTCCAGGGTATGAGAATACTCTAGGTACATGATGGCTCTAGGTAAACTGAAAGCTCTCTGGGTATGTAGAAAAGAGGCTTAGAGAATCTGTGGGCTAGAGATACAGGGACTTAGAACTGGTATTTCTCTCTTTTAGGACCCTGAGTCTTTTCCTGAGTGTCAGGTCATCGCTTAATAGAAATACCTGCATCTAAGACCATCAGCGCATGGAAGAAGACACACACGATATGCCTAAGCATGTTAGTGCTGGCCTTCTCACGGTAGACGATGTTGACTGTCACCTGCTTCCTCACGCTGCTGCAAGTTCATTGGCATCCCAAGCTCTTGAGTTCTGCTCCACGTAGCATGCATGGACCCCAAGCTAGTGGACATGTGTGAAGTTCTCCAAATCCCTTACTGCTCTGAGTGCCACCATCTGTGAGCTCACAGCATTATCATTTAAACAGAACAAATTCACTACCCTGAACCTTCTAGTCCTTGTGTGACAGATGTTATTGGGCAACACCAGTTGTGTCTATTTCTGGGTAGCCATGAGTCCCATAGCATACCTGATTCCATGACACCATCAGGCTGACGTCCACAAACATATGATAAAATCCTTTGCGGAACTGGTCAGTGGCATTCTCAGCAAGGGTAGTGAGGTGGCCGGAGGCCACATAGTAGGCCAGGGCTACTCCAACAGTAGAAAGCTGTAACAGGGAAGAAAGGTTCCTCAGTCGGCTGAGGGAGGACTCAGTTGTAACCTAAATACTCTGGTGACAAGGTGCCTATAAGGTGTCTAACATTTAAGTTAGTGGTTGAGGAGATGATGCAGTTGGCAAGTGTAAGCACAAGGCTGAGTTCATTCTCTAGAACCGTGCAAAAATGCCGGTCATGGTAGCACGGGCCTATAATACTTGTGTCGGGGAGATAGAGACAGGCAGATTCCTGGGGCTCACCAGCCAGCTGGCCTGGTTTAATGGTAATTCAGGCCAGTGAGAGGTGCTATCTTAAAAACAAAGATGGATTGCATCTGAGAAACAACACCCAGGGTTGTCCTCTGGCCTACAGACGTTTATGCACCCAGACACACATGAACACAAACACACAGACAGAGACACAATACACATACATACAATACACACACAGACACACACCCCACTACCATCAGATGCCAAGGAAATCTAATTTCAAATACTATTCTGCATCTACACTACAGTGGGAGAACGTAGTGACACTGGAATTAGTGTTTATTAAGACTCCCTGATAAAAGTACTTTCCCTTTCAGATGAAAATGCTCTGGCATCGTTTGTTCTACATAAAGAACACTGCATCAGAGAGGTTACCTCCAGCCAGTGTCTCGGTTTTCTCCAGTACCTAAGGATTCCCTCGGTGGCCAACCCCCAGAGCTGGAAACAGAGGTGGGTCACGTTGAGTACCAGGAACAACAGCTGGGAAGGGACAGAAATAAATAAGACACCAGAGGTTCAGGTACGTCATTTTTTCAAGGTCTAAACCTCTGGCTAGTTCCCCTGCCCATCACCGTTTCAGTGGAGAAGCTTCTTTCCCTCTCAGCAGCATTTGATAACAAACTAGCAGTAGGTACCTGGGCAGCTTGGTGATACTTCACACTAAGCACTCTCAGAGGCCCGATTCCACATGAAGCCTCAAGACCTGCTATTGACTTTGCAGGCATTGGAATAAGGCATTTGGGTGTCCACCGCCACTGCCAGCTCACTGTGCCAGCCTGCCATTTGTTCACAAGTTTACAGGAGATTGAAACCCATCAGCAGGGCCTTTGTGCATCCTCTATCATCTTTGGGAGCCTGTTCACTGTGCCTTGTGGGTCCACTGTAACAGACTGCAAACACAAACAGAGCCAGGTTGGCTCTGAGTACTAAGGGAAGGTATGAAACAGTGCTATTGTGTCACGTCATACCAGAGTCTGTTTCTACACTACAGTAGGGACCACAGTGATGTTGGAAGTAGCGAGAATTTGTAGAACTTACTGATGGAAGTATTTTTCCCTGCAGATAAAAATACTTTAGTGTCACTGTTCTACATAAAGGAGATTATGCCAAAGTTAGCTCCAGCCAGTGTCTCCGTTTGCTCTGTACTACAGAGCCAAAAGAATGGGGAGGGAAATTGACCTGGTCTTTTAAACGCTTAACATTTTGCCTAACATGATTTCATTTTTTGGCATGAATTCTGATATTTTAAGATATCATACTAGAATACTGTTTACCTTGTTCTCTGACAATTCTTTATTATTCATTTATTTACTTATGTATTCACTTATTTATTTATCTTTGGAGCCTGAGGCAAGAGCCTCTCCTATCTCAGCCCCTTCCCAATAGTCTAGACTTCTTCTTCATCTGTATCCTCCATGATAGTCTCAGCCATGGCTATCTCTATCAGTCCCTAGACTTCTTTTCCTTCCTGAAGCCAAGAAGATTTGACTTGTCCAACCTGCAGACCATGTTCCCTTCACAAAAAAACATGAAGTGAGAAGACACAAAACCAGTGGCATACCGTGGAGGGTCGCTGCTGAGGCTTTTGACTGTTTAGCGAACAATGTGAACCACTGAGAACTGGTACAACTGGAAGGGGGCTGTCATCCCCAAAATAACATTTTGGTGCCCGATGCCCCATATTGTCTATTTGTAGGCAGGCCTCGATGGAAGCAGTTAAGGCTAAGTGCAGGCATGAAGGGAGGGCTGCTCTTATGATATTGAGATTTATATACATACTGAAGCCAAAAGCACACATATTTTCTTTTTGTTCACTGGCACAGAAAAGAAGCCAGGCTGTGTGGCACAGTGCTAAGGTGGCTTCCCACCACCCAGCAAAAGAATTGTCACTACAGCCCAGCTTTCCTGGTAGCTTGATCTTGAGCTTGTGGCTGCCGGATCATTGTTAAATAGATGCCTATTATTTAAGCCAGCTAGGCAGTGAGCAGATATACGGCTGTCCATCCCCGGGTGGCTGTCTGAAATGTCAATAGTGCCATGCCCTATTAATACTATAACTTTCTTATAAATACACAGCTATCTTTAATAAAGCTAACTTTCAAAATTTGGCATAGTAACTGATTAACCATAATAACCAATAATAAAATAGAACAGTTATGACAACACTCTGTAATTATACCACAATACACCATTACGTTGTTTAAAATCATTATTTACTTTGGAACATTGCCTTCCATATTTTCAGGCCATGGTTGATTATAGAAAGTTAAATGTTGGACAGTGAGGGATGACAGTATTTTGTTATGATGGCTGAAGCTGACTCAGACTCCACAATGGACTTAGTACATTGTGGTGGTTGAGTATTTGAGCTCATTTTGTAGGTAATGGTTTCCCCATTGGGGAATCTTCCTTGTCTCTGCCCCAACACTTATTCTATGATTGATCCTGCATGACAGGGACATAAAAAGTATGGGGGTAGGCCAACGGGAGGGCTCTAGTCTCATGCTGAAGAGTTATTTAGCCCAGGTGAATTCCTGCATGACAGGGACATAAAAAGTATGGGGGTAGGCCAACAGGAGGGCTCTAGTCTCATGCTGTAGAGTTATTTAGCCCAGGTGAAGCCTCGTAGCCCTGTGTCCGTGCAGGAGGCCTAAGCCAAGCGAACTCACCTCAGAAAGCATAAGAGGGTACTGTGGGGCTGAGCCACCATAGAAGATGCTGAAGGACTCGACCAGGGATGAGGGGACGAGACCTCCTGTGGGGAGGAGTTCTGCACCTAGGGTCACACTCGTGAAGAGTCGGGTCGGAGGGTTGTAGAGAGTGAAGTGCACAGACATGGCCCTGGTCCTCTGGTCGATCCACCCGCTGGCCCTGAGGGTGCTCAGAGCTGCATGGGCTTCGTGCCTGGAAAGCATCCCAGGTTGAGAGGGCAGGTAGGAAACAAGGCTTGGGAGTCCAGGGAAAATCCCATCCGTAGCACCATGACCCAAACACCTGACGTAAGCCCCTATGGGGACAGATGACCCCTAGCCTTCACATAACTGCACGAACAGTCCTATCTGTTAAGAATCCCCACTAGGCACCCACTGCCCCTCTTTCCCCCTTTATCCTATTTCCTGCAGCAGCAAGGATATAATTCCACCAGTGACAGCTTCCAGCCCTCACCTATGCCCTGAGAGGAGATGCCCAGTGTCCCTCCCCAAGTGCTCACAAATATTCATATCCTTCTTTCACAGTGGACAGTGTAGATGGAAAGAAACCATATTTTACTCATTTATATGTAGTAGCAAAGAACGTGTCTGGCAAATTAAAAAACAGGGCACTACTATAACTGTGCCGATTGAGTCCCTAAGCAAAGCCCCATTCTGTGGTGAGGGATGAACCATAAATTGGGCCTGGGCATCCTGAGGAACTGCCAGGGTACCTGGCTTCAGGCTGGGCTACAGGAAGCATGCTACATACAAGCCGTATCTGTACACACTGGAAGATACACTCCTCATTTGCTCAGTGCATCTCACCACAGCATCTGCGCTCCTCTAGGAGTTAAGAATAGCCAAGGCCATATGAGCATCCTACTTGGCACAAAGTAAGCAAAGGATAAAGATTCACTTGATGCCATGATTCCACAGGCTCTGGAAGCCACTTCACTTCTAATGAATGTTGCATTCTGTTTTCCTCTATGCACTTGGGTCTAAACACTGAGTCTGAGTTCTTCGACACCATTGTTTTGAAGGAGGAGCTCTGCTTGGTCTGTAGCAATGTCAGCTCTTTCTGCCCGGAAGCCCATCCTTCAGCCAACAGGCCTCACTCACCTGACAGCAGGCAGCCTGGGAGCCTTGCTGAATGCTCACTGACCTTGTTCTTCCTAGGCTGTGCATGTAGCTCTCTTTCTTCACCCCACAGGCCTCCAGACCACCAGGGGTCATATTAAGATTCTTAGGGTCAAGGTCACGACTACGTGCAGGGGGTACATTTTCCACAAGCTCTGAGAATGTCCTGGGAGGCTGGAGCACAAACCATCAGTCAAGTAACCTCTGTCCCCAAATCCATCTGCACTGTGCGGCCCAAGTTCTCTCCACACATAGGGCAGCCCAACTTTGTGATCAGGGACCCTGCTACTCTTAAGGAAAATTCCACGGCCTACTTCATGATCTCTGAGCTCTATTTCAAACTAGAAGGATCCAGGCTATGCTTGCTCAAGGTTGCAGCTGAGGAGCTAGCTGGGTAGGGCTGGACAATCTGCAGAATATTGCATGGAGGAATGAATGATGCTGTCTCAGGGCTCCCATCCCCATCAGAAAATAATACAAGAATATTCTAGCTTCAGGTTTTTAGAAGAAGGAGCCTTCTTTCGCCTACAGTGCCAATCCCATATGGGAAAGGAACAGTCCTGGGGCAGAATGCAAAGGGTACAAGAGGGTGTTTGGAAAGGGCAGAAGGAAGGTAGGTTCCGGCACCTCGCAGCTGTCTGAGGAGCTTAACTGATCTGCGGGTTCCTGTCCCTGCGTCTCCTAGTGCACTTACCATGCACTGAGGGCCAGCAGAAACCTTCAGCTGTGTCATCACTGAAGGGCCTATTAGGTGGCACTGCCCTCCAAGAGCTCCAGGCTGAAAGAGGAAGAGACTGGAGGTAAGAGCATTGTGAACTTCAGTTGCAACCTCCGCTGGATCGCTGACGAGGCTGGGGAGCATCGGGTCACTGCATTAGCAGAATCAGAGGTTTATTCCCCTGAAAACCAGACGATGCAAGCAGCACCCCAGAAACCAGCCTTCTGAGGATGCAACCTCAGAATGGGGTTGACTTCCTCCCCAGCATCCCCTTTGGCAAAGGAAAGCATTCAGATGCCTTCCCCTTGAAATCCACCTCATGTGAGTGACCCTAGGAGTCTCCATAACATTCATGGAACACAACAAAAGGGAACAAGGGACAAAATGTTTCAGGAATGTAAGACAAAGATCTTGTATTTTTTTTTAAGGGGGCAGGGGTGAAATATGAATAAGGGACAGAACAATACAACTTAGGACCAGCCTTGCCTTTTTCTGGAAGCTTCCCTAATGTTGCTGTCTTAGCCGTGCTATCTTCTACTGCTCTGGGGACTCCTGAGCCTTTGTCATGCTTGCAGCAAGCTGGCTTCTTCTTCAATCTCACCCTGTTAACATGGCCATGCCCTGCTTGGACTGGCAAGCATCAACCCCAGAACATGGATAGCGTAACACAGACTTCACCAAGGAGAGTAAAAGGTTTCTTTGGCTGCCATTGTGCCATGGAGCAGATCCTATGCTTTGCTGTGGTTCCCCTTACTGCCGTATGGCTTCTGGCAGACAGGAAAGCACCACCACCTACCTGAGCCCCCTGAGCTCCAGCAGAGGGTCCTTCTGGGTGAAGCTTATCTAGCAATGTGCTCAGAGTCCAGTGCCACCAGTCCTCTGTGCTCCTCAGGTCCCCCAAGGAGTGATTAGCATTTCTTAATTCAAGAACAAGACAAAAAGTGTACACATGTCTGTAAGAACAATTCCAAGCAAGACGGTGAAAGATGCTTTTGTTCTGCCATTTTTCCCCCACACACATTCTAGGTTAAGCCAAAGCAATCTGCAATCTGCAGTACAACTCCAGAATTCACTTTGCTCCTCAGTGGCAGAGGGAAGAGAAACAGTGGGGGGAAGAGGGGGCAGGGAACACTTATTAATTCACTCAGCAAAAATTACTATGTAAATACTAAGCACCAGGCATTCTTCCAGACACTGGGAAACAAGATCACATCCCTTTCCTTCTATGGGGAAACAAACAAATTATGTATATATGTGTGTATATGTATATGTGTATGGAGAAAGCACTGTACAGACAGTGGAAGGGTGGGGGCAGGGAGGAATATTTGGCACACCTATTTCACCTATCTCCATATCTGCTTAAAAAAAAAACCCAAACAGATTGGTGTCCATTAGTCATGCTGAGTTCCCACAACATTTACCTTTTTTAAAATTTATTTTTATGTGTATGTGTGTTTTCCTCGAATGCATGTCTATGCATCACATATGTGCCTGGTACCTTCAGAGGACAGAGGGGCCATTGGCTCCCCTGGGACTCTGGTTACAGATGGTTGTGAGCAGCCACATGGGTGTTAAGAAACAGAACCAGTAGGATTTACTTCAAAAGTCTATACGCCACAAAATTTGAAAATCTAAATGAAATGGACAATTTTCTTGATCGATTTGATTTACCAAAGCTGAATCAGGACCAGGTAAATCAATTAAAAAGTCCTATATTCCCCAAGGAAATAGAATCAGTCATCGAAAGTCTCCCATCCAAAAAAAGCCCAGGACCAGATGGTTTCAGTGCAGAATTCTACTAGACCTTCAAAGAAGAGTTAACTCCAATTCTCTTCATACTATTCCACAAAATAGAAACAGAAGGAACATTACCAAACTCATTCTATGAAGCCACAGTCACCTTGGTACCTAAACCTCACAAAGACTCAACAAAGAAAAAGAATTTCAGGCCAATCTCCCTTATGAACAATGATGCAAAAATACTCAACAAAATACTTGCAAACTGAATACAGGAACACATCAAAGATATTATCCACTATGACCAAGTAGGCTTCATCCCAGGTATGCAGGGGTGGTTCATTATATGGAAATCCATCAATGTGATCCACCATATTAACAAACTGAAAGAAAAAAACCACATGATAATCTCCCTAGATGCTGAAAAAGCATTAGACAAAATCCAACATCCATTCATGTTTAAAGTACTGGAGAGATCAGGGATACAAGGCACATATCTAAACATAGTAAAGGCGATATACAGCAAGCCTATAGCCAACATCAAACTGAACGGAGAAAAACTTAAAGCAATCCCACTGAAATCAGGGACAAGACAAGGCTGCCCACTCTCTCCATATCTCTTCAACATAGTTCTGGAGGTCCTTGCTAGAGCAATAAGACAGTTGAAGGAGATCAAGGGGATACAAATTGGAAAGGAAAAAGTCAAATTATCACTATTTGCAGATGATATGATAGTATACCTGAGTGACCCCAAAAACTCTACCAGGAAACCCCTACAGCTGATAAACACCTTCAGCAAAGTGGCTGGATACAAAATTAACTCAAAAAAATCAGTAGCACTCCTGTATACAAAAGACAAAAGGGCTGAGAAAGAAATTAGGGAAACAACACCCTTCATAATAGCCACAAATGACATAAAGTACCTTGGTGTAACCCTAACCAAGCAAATCAAAGACTTGTATGAAAAAAATTTCAAGTCTCTGAAGAAAGAATTAGAGGAAGATATCAGAAGATGGAAAGATCTCCCATGCTCATTGCTTGGCAGGATTAACATAGTAAAAATGGCCATTTTACCAAAAGCAATCTACAGATTTAATGCAATTCCCATCAAATTACCAACACAATTCTTTACAGACCTGGAAAGAAAAATTCTCAACTTCATATGAAATAACAAGAAACCCAGAATTGCTAAAACAGTCCTCTACAACAAAAGATCTTCTGGAGGCATCTCCATCCCTGATCTTAAGCTGTACTATAGAGCAACAGTAATAAAAACTGCATGGTACTGGCATAGAAACAGAATGGTGGATCAATGGAACCGAACAGAAGACCCTGACATAAACCCACACACTTATGGACACCTGATCTTTGACAAAGATGCCAAAACCATACAATGGAAAAAAGATATCATCTTCAACAAATGGTGCTGGTCTAACTGGATGTCTATATGTAGAAAAATGCAAATAGATCCATAGTTATCACCCTGCACAAAACTAAAGTCCACGTGGATCAAAGACCTCAATATAAAACCAGACACATTAAATCAGTTAGAAAAAAAAAGTGGGGAATACGCTAGAACTCATTGGTACAGGAGAAAACTTCCTGAAAGGAACACCAACAGCACAGGCTCTAAGAGCAACAATCAATAAATGGGACCTCATGAAACTGAAAAGCTTCTGTAAAGCAAAGGACACTGTCATCAAAACAAAACGACTGCCTACAGATTGGGAAAGAATCTTCACCAACCTTTTATCTGACAGAGGGCTAATATCCAGTATATATAAAGAACTAAAGAAGCTGAAAAGCAACAAACCAAGTAATCCAATTAAAAAATGGGGAACAGAGCTAAACAGAGAATTCTCTGTAGAGGAATATAGAGTGGCAGAGAAACACTTAAAGAAATGTTCAACGTCATTAGCCATTAGGGAAATGCAAATCAAAACAACCCTGAGATTTCACCTTACACCCATCAGAATGGCCAACATCAAAAACTCAAGAGACAACACATGCTGGAGAGGGTGTGGAGAAAGGGGAACCCTCCTCCACTGCTGGTGGGAATGTAAACTTGTACAACCACTCTGGAAATCAATCTGGCGCTTTCTCAGACAACTAGGAATAGCGCTTCCTCAAGATCCAGCCATACCACTCCTAGGCATATATCCAAAAGAGGCTCAAGTACACAAAAAGGACATTTGCTCAAACGTGTTTGTAGCAACTTTATTTGTAATAGCCAGAAGCTGGAAACAGCCCAGTTGTCCCTCAACTGAAGAATGGAGGCAGAAATTGTGGTACATCTACACAATGGAGTATTACTCTGCAATGAAAAATAAGGAAATCATGAAATTTGCAGGTAAATGGTGGGACCTAGAAAGGATCATCCTGAGTGAGCTGTCCCAGAAGCAGAAAGACATATACGGTATATACTCACTCATATAGACATTTAACATAGGATAAACCTACTAAAATCTATACATCTAAAGAAACTAATCAAGAGAGAGGACCCTGACTAAAATGCTCAATCCCTTCCTGAAAGGCAAAGAGGATGGACATCAGAAGAAGAAGAAAACAGGAAACAAGCTAGGAACCTGCCACAGAGGGCCTCTGAAAGGCTCTGCCCTGCAGACTATTAAAGCAGATGCTGAGACTTTATGGCCAACTGTTGGGCAGAGTGCATGGAATCTTATGTAAGAAGTGGGAAATAGTAAGATCTGGAGGGGACAGGAACCCCACAAGGAGAGCAACAGAACCAGAAAATTTTAACACAGGGGTCTTCCCAGAGACTCATACTCCAACCAAGTACCATGCATGGAGATAACCTAGAACCCCTGCACAGATGTAGCACATGATAGTTCAGTGTCCAAGTGGGTTACATAGTAATGGGAAGAAGGACTGCCTCTGACATAATCTGATTGGCCTGCTCTTTGATCACCTCCCCTTGAGAGGGGAGTAGTCTTACCAGGCCACAGAAGATGACAATGCAGCCACTCCTGATGAGATCTGATAGACTAAGATCAGAAGGAAAGAGAGGAGGACCTCCCCTATCAGTAGGAAAGAGAGGAGGACCTCCCCTATCAGTGGACTTGGGGAGGGGCATGCGTGAAGAAGGGGAGGGAGGGTGGGACTGGGAGGGGAGAGGGGCTTATGGGGGGATACAAAGTGAATAAAGTGTAATTTTAAAAAATTAAATAAATAAATAAATAAATAAAAGAAACAGAACCAGAATTCTCTGGGAGAGTAGCCAGTATCCTTAACCACTGAGCTAACTCTCCAGCTTTCCACAGTACTTTTTGAGGTATCATGGACTCAACACCAAGGTGGCTTTGCCCATATTAAGCATGTGATCTACCACTGAACTGCACCCCTAGCGCAAGCTTGCTTCATTCAGACAAATGTTATCACTTCCTGACACTTGCT